GCGACGAGGAAAGGCGGAGGAGGGTGGCGTGGAGTAGAGGAAGAACGAGATTTGCGGCGGAAACGGGATAGAGCGAGAGTCCATATCGCTCGGAAACAGCAACCTCCATTTATTTTATTACATTATCATACCAACTAGGCGCTCGATAAGTGGGGCTTTAAAGCGACGGTTCTCAAATCGTTCCCCGTTTCCTGAACTTTGGAATTTCGCCGCACTACTAAGTCGGATGGCTCCTCCGTCGAAAAAAGATGGATCGGAAGTTAATGGAACTTTTTCTCGGGGAAAACTTTTGGAAACAATGAAGTTATATATTTTTTAATTAATATGTATATCTATGTATGTACTGTATTATAATATAAATAAATATATATTCATATTTAATTTATTTTTATTTCTTTCATTTCTTCCTTATATTCTTCCTTATTTATTTATATATCATTGATTTCCTCTTCGAATTCGAAATATTATTTAGATATTATTTAGATATCTTGCATGATATATTTATTTATTAACTTTAATATTAGTAAATTTTTACTATACTAAATTATACAATATTTTGCTAATAATATTTGTTTAAATTTCTTCAAGAAATTAAAAAATTGAAATTTAGAGTCAAATTTTAAAAAACAAAATTTTAGTAGAACATAAGATAACGGATATAGTTGATTTTCAGGAAATTCGAAAGGTGCGCTTCAATTGACAGAAAAAAAAAAAATAAAAAGAATTGGATGCGCGTTGAATCGACGAGTAAAGCAGAACGAATTGTTCAGCCGTTAAGTTGGATTAAAAGCAAAGTCAGCGACGTGTTCCTCTTCGGCCCGTCATTTAATGACCATCGATTATCGTGGCGAAATTTAAACGAAGCACGGGCATAATTACGCCATCGTGTTTCGCAGCTTTGTCGTCGATATGGGTACGATTTAATTGAAAACAAACACTCGACCAACGAATATTTACCATTATCTCACGCTTTTGTTTGACAAATGCCAAACAAATAATTATAATTCCACGTATAATGAAAAGTAGTATACCCGCAGATCGTGATTACAATTCATTCGCTTACATTATGCTGAAATTTTGTTTGATTGGCGCTATTATCGCATAATTCAGCCACAGACCTATACTCTTCATATTTTAATTTTGTAGATACATGGAAATAAACCTTTATAACTTCGTTGCGGATAATCTAGATTATTTGTGTTTGTTAAAATTTTCATTCTTTGATCTACGATTGAAATAAAGAATTTATCATTGTTGAAATAAAATATAATAACAACATAGAAACTCTATCACATCTATCACAATTATTTGCATAAATATTTCGTTACAATTATATAATTATATAATGAAGACTTCGTTTATAGATATAACAAAATGAATACTTCATGAATTTGTTAAAAATATAAATTTATTATCGTCGAGAAGAAGTGATATTACTGGTTCATATTTCACGATGGAGGGATTTGCAGAGGAGTGTAGAAAAAAAATCCCTGTGAATTTTTCACCCTGGCCAGCTTGAACTTCAGAATTCGCTGGGTTGGCTGACGTTTAAGAAATCTGATTTTCTTCTCACGTATATCGAAGGATTACCCAAGTATTCGGGACGACCACTT